CCTCCATTTCGCCCTGTTTTTCCTTCCCTTGGTTATTCTTATTATTGAAAAAAATATTAATGAGGAAGCACCCTCGTTTTCTCTCATTTGAGGAACGTCTATGGCTCAAAAGCCTGCGGATAAAGCCAATGGTAATCAAATTTCAATCGGAGCCTCTCTCGAGCTATTATGTTGAAGGGGGGTATGGACTGATACTATACAATAACATGCAACAACAAGGGGTTGAAAAGGGTTCTGGCAAGGCTAGTTTCTTCTACATTGTTTATCCTTCTGTTTTGTAATTGTCTTCAATTTGTTCCGGACGAAACGAGACTATACTGTCTTGCTGTACGCGGTATACATTTGGCAAGCTGTTCAAGTGTACTAAAGCCAGAAAGCAATTTTTTGTTTTAGGACAGGACCAAAAAAACAACAACCGGTTTCATACTTCTGTCCGTGGGGTTTTATGCATCCCGCATAATTTAGCAAAACTTGATCATTTTTTGCCTAATTTGTGATTATTTTCCTTTATTATTCTTTTTTAAAATTAACAGAATCGGGTAATTTCGCATTTTGGGGCTCAGTTTGCATAATTTCAGAATTTGTTTTGCATAAAACCACGGGGACAGATATTTTATAAAAGATATATATAAAGGCCTGCTTTTAAAAATTCATGATTTTAGGTTTAGTACATCTGAACAGCAGCTGGGAACTTTGTGCCACACGTGACTGTTCTGTTACCATTTGCTTTCCTCTGGCAGAGTGACAGCCCGACAGTGTATGGAGGAGTGTGTCGTGGGGGACCTGTGTGTGCCCGCCGGGATGTTAGTCCACGCCAACCTATGGGATGTCCAGTACGACCCACGTCACTGGGGAGAAGATCCTCAAAGCTTTAACCCTCTCAGGTCCGTGAATTAGTTAACTTTTATGGCTGGTATATTACATAATCTGTCTGTGTTCTGCGCCGTGACTTTCTGGTTAGTTAGGGTTATCAGTGACACTTAGTTTCATGATAAAAACTTCTTACTGCACTTTTGGAATGTGCGGCGCACCCTGTTTAGAAACAAAACAACACAAAACAAAATATGTCTATTACTTCGTC